ACTGCCACTACCACCACTACTACCACTACCACCACTGCCACCACTACCAGCTCTACTCACTACCGCCACTGCCACCACTTCTACCACTACCACCACTGCTACCACTACCGCCACTGCCACCACTACCACCACTACTCATTACCACCATTACCACTACTGCCACTACTGCAACTGGCCGCCCCCACCCACCAACTACCTGTCGCTTAACCATTGGGCAAACGGGGTCTGAAAGTGAAGATCCGGGGGGGCGAAGCAGGTAACATTATGCAGGAAACCTCTAAGCCTGAGAAACTGATAACGGTTCAACACGCAACTAACAATCATCATATGCATCATCAACATCATGATCATCGTCATCATCATCATCCCACTCTCTAACCACAAGCCCGAATGGCATCAGAATAACGTACCGCTTGAGGCTGCCATGTTTGTCATTATCCCCCCCCCTGTTCCTCCATACCGCTTGCCGATCGGTCCAAGCGACTGGTACAGTAGTTGGCCTACTACGCTACTACGAACGCCACCACCACCACCACCACTGCTACTGCTTCTACAAAACCAACACTTCAGCAGTTAATCTCCACTCACCAGCTACTAGTAACAGCTACAGCTGCCAGTTGGCTGCAACACGCTTGAGATATGGCAGATATGGACAAAAGGCCATAATTTTCAGGCTAATCGCCCCCGGAGTTGAGAGGAGAAGCCGTACAAGGGAAGGATATATTGAAGGGCTATCTGCTATTGCTCACATGCTACACCACTCGCTCAGCGACTAAGGCTTGAACCCGTGTAAGTTGACGGCAGTCTGAAGTCCAAGCTCTCACCCGCGAGTATGGCATTCCTCAACACGACAACGAAACAAGATCGGCCGCCAGGCGCCGACACGGCGTCTTCAAGTTCAAAATGATCTAAAGGCACTTCAGGGCAAGGCCGCTCGCACATCTCTATGTCGATGTGCGGATTCACGATCCTTACCAACAGCATCTTGCAAGTCGCAAGTAAGCAAGTACCCGCCCCTGCCTAAGATGCGGCGTCGGGTGGAAGGCTGCTGCACCTCGGCGCGATGTTGCCATTCGTGGCAATACCAAACACACTTCCATGAATCTCCACTCTCCGGAACGAACTGGGGACACCAGAAACAACAACCCACCGACCTTTGCACCCCACTACATCTTCCAGAAACCGTCGGCAGGAAGATCCTTTGTGCGAGGCCTAAGCCTGAGAGGCCCAGGGGCGCGGCGTGATCCCAAGATCACCTCTGTGGACGCAAAGTCAGCTGAATCCTTTTTACCCTCTATTTCAAAGTTCCCTTTTGTTAAAGCTTTGTGCTGGAGCCCCAACTGGGCCCGACTCTTCGGGTCCTGGAGAATGCTGGAACCTTCCTTCCTGTTCCCTCATGAAGCTTCTGCTCCGCGCGCTTTGGTATGCTTTGGTTAGGTAGTAAGAGTGGGGCTCAGGGTTGAGGGTTTTGTTTGTATTACACGTAGGCCCCTGGCCCTCGAGTCCAAAACCCAAGCCAAAAACCCAACCACATCACTCTCGACACGGCTCTGTTACTATTGCCGGTCAGCGAAAAGGAATAAGTGAACGCGGCAAGAGAAAGTAACAAAACGCAGGGCCAGGTTCACCCTTCGAGCCGGAATAACTACGGCTTCGCTTGTAAGACCTGCTTTTCGCAGAGAGTCTTGTGCTTCTCAGACCCGACCTTGAGGATCTGTGAGAGGCCCGCGGCCTCCAGCTGGTTTCCGACCTGGTGACGAGCACTTGGCCAGGCCGGGAAGGGCCGAGAAGGGCTGAGCCCTCCACACCCGACTTGGCTGAGATGATGCCAAGCGGAGCTGTATCATCGACGTTCAGGGTGCCCTGCGAGAACTCCCGTGCAGCCACCAGCGCGTGAAGGCCGAGACAGCCCAAACCCTCCCTAAACCCTTAAGCGGCTAGTTTCGCCTGTGGTCGGTACGCTCGAGCAAAGGCGGTCGCCTGGGAAAAGCTCAGAGGTCTGGAGCGATGTGGCAAGCACGACATAGTAGAGGAAAAGTACGTACAATCACCAATAAGCAAATCAGACAGCCACGTTGTTTCGTCTCCGTTCTCTGCAGCTATGCAGCAGCGTAACAGACAACAACTGTACTGATTTGCAGTTCTTGTTTGTGCCGGAGACCGCTTGATGTGAGCGCTTTTGCCATCTGAGCTTTTCCGGGAGGTTGCCGTGTTTACCATCGCAGAGATCTATAGAGCTCTTGAACTCACGGTTCCTTGTGTAGCTGTGCCCGTGAACCCTGATGATGCTGCCCACATCCTTTTGGAGGGACCTGTGGCAGAGGGCCCTCCACCGGTTCATGGAACTTGCGCCTCAGAACACGAAGAAGAAGATGGACGAGATGGTTGCCGAGCGAGCGAGCGAGCGAGAAAGAGAGAGAGAGAGAGAGTGAGAGACAGAGAGTGAGAGTGAGCGCGGAGCGAGAGCGAGAGCGCGAGCTGGAGCGGGAGCAGGAGCGGGAGCGAGAGGGAGAGCGAGAGGGAGAGGGGAGACAGGAAGAGAGAGGAGAGAGAGAAGAAGAAGAGAGAGAAGGAGAGAGAGAAGGAGAGAGAGGGAGAGACAGAGAGAGAGACAGAGAGAGACAGAGAGAGAGAGAGAGAGAGAGAAAATAAAATAAAATAAGCAAAACCTGAAGTTCTAGCAAACCACAACAGCAATGTCAAGCCTCCAGGGAATCGTCCAGGATCTTGCCATCCGCACAGCTTTCCACCGCATCGACATCCAGACCAGTAATCTGTGTTTGCCGCAAGGCCTGGCATCTCAAGCAGGATCGAGAGGGCATGTCTTCCACAGGCTCATGCCGACGTGGCTGCAGCCTCGTGAATCACTTCTTGCAGTGCGAGACAGTCAGGAGCAGCAAGGTGACTTCTCCTAGACAGGAGAGTCCATGCGAGTCTTGAAAACCACAGAAGCCTGCCTTGCACTACCTGGCCTTCCACTCTGATTCGTGGCACTTCCGGCAAAATATCCAAGTTCGTTCTCCGCCTTCCCGGGATCAGGCGCACTGCAGTCGATAAAGGCTGGCAAAAAGGCTTGCATACGAGCCAACGGTGGCACAGCTGGGCGCCTCTCCCTCAACATTGCCTGCCTGTGCATCTTCCAGAGGATATCAAACCGTTTGCTCCACAGTTGCTGCTACATGACTCACTTGGCGGCTGATGCATTCCCATCTCCACTGAGCTGATGCGAGCAAACCGCCCAAGTCGAGATCTCAGAGGCTGAGTCTCCTTAAGCGACTTGCCAGTCCACATAGCATGACCTCCTTACAGGCCTTAAGCACGATGGAGGTCACGCAGTCTCCACGGATGTAGCCTCAGCCGCAACGGCTTCCAGACACTCTTTGGTTTGGGGTGCTTCTACGCATTGTGGAGATTTGTCCGGATACGACAGGGCAATCTGACACTGATGCTGCCAACCCTCAACAAACTTAGAGCTGTCGGTCATTGCCGTTTTTGCCTGGGCTGCGCTGTAGCAGTGCCGCGACTTGCTGTACACCATCCCGATGTGTCCATCTTCAGTGCAGGATGCTCTTGCGCATTTCCCGTGCAAAGCCGTGTTCGCGTCGAGAACGAGAAGCCGATGCATAGAAGAACTGTACGGACGGGTACAAGTGAAGCTATTTCCTACCCAGGCACTCACCATTCACAAAGAGAAAAACGCTCTCTGGATCTGCTGCCCACTGCTTCCATGCAGATGCGACCTCTTGTAACTCCGGCTCCTTTGCAATGCCATATTCGAGGGCTTGCGTCCCAAAGGAATGAATCGTGCGCTCCGCCCAGGATTCGGCCCAGTTCTTTCTTGCAACTTCGTTGGCCGACGAGTAGGTGACTGTGGAAGTTGTGTAGTCGACGTCCTTGAGTTCAGCCTCACGCAGCCATCTTTTCAGAAACAGCCCTGCCTCGGGCTCAGCTTTGTTCTGACGGGCTGTGGCCATGTAAACGTCCCGCCACTTGTCAATTCCGGGCAGTGCTGGCGAGCCGCGCATGGTGGAATATATCGCATCTTTCACGCCGATCAGGCCCCCTGCCTTGCAAACACGCCTCATCTCCCGTAATGCTGCGACAGGCTCTGACAAGTGCTGCAGAACTTGGTGTGCATAAACCACATCAAAGGTTGCATCTTGGAAAGGGAGGTCGTAGACACCTCGGCTGTTGGAGCCTTGCAGCTCCAGAGCTTCCCACGACCCGCACGACCCGGATCGAGAAACTCAGGGTCCGGCTAGCAGTCTGGAATTCGATGCCTTCGGATCCAGTCTCGCCCAATGCCTTCTGGGCCTGTGCGATCACAGACTCAGAGTTATCCACACCCGTCACGGACTTGACATACTTCGCAAAGCCCCGGGTGATGGAGCCCGGCCCGCATCCCACATCCAGCAGTGCGAAATCTTCTTGCAAGTGAGGTATCAGAAAATTCGCGCAGTTTTCGACGGTCCGGGAGGCGTGCTGGGCAACAACACTGCTATGATGCCCATGCGTGTACCTGTCTGCCGCCATCGTCGAAAGCACAGAGCAGAGGCCCTGGCAGTGTCGACCCTTGCAACCCCAAAGTCGAGCCCCAATTCAGGCGGAGTTCTGCTGCTGCTTTTGAGCCACTGCGAGGATCCAAAGGCTAACCGACGAGAAAACCCGACCCAGACTACAGTGTGGTCTGAGATCCGAACCACAGGCAGAAGCATCGAACGCAAACGTTCGGCCCTGCCATCCAGTTTCATCATATTCGCACTTGAGAACTGTAAACAGCAAGACCCCTTATTTTCGAGGCCAGGTGCCTTCGGCGACAGCAGTCCGCACGAGCTTAGGTGGACGTACGGCCTCATCCAGGTTTCCAGCACTTGGGTAGGTCTCTGCAATAAAGAGGACCACCAATCAGGAGCGGAAGCTGAAGTGAGGGGACAAGCGAGAACACGAGGGCACTGGCGACTCATGTTAGATGTCTAGGAAGGACGTGATCTCGATCGGGCAATGACACTCAGTCATTACACACGCTTCGAACGTCCTGCTCGAGCTGTAAACAATTGTAAACATGTGGGCACAGCAGGCATTGCAACATAATGCAACCAAAACCTACCGCATTCGGATTAGCAGCATGTTGAGCCGACTTTCTTCGGTCTGGCTTGACTCGTGCATATTGACTACTGCTCCTGGCTTCTTCATTGTCACGCAAAGGACGCGTGCTGTTCCAATCCTCAATTACGTTCCTTCTGCCCCAAACTACAATAAGAAACGTATGGATGCAGGTATGGGTGGGTGCACGCTTGTGTGTTCACAGAAATGAATACGTGCGACCAGGAACACCCAATGTGCCTTTAATAAAAAGTTCACCCAGCACTAGTCCGGTACACGAAGCGCAGTCGGACAACAGCACTTTTTGTCCGATGGCAGAAAACGGTCTGGTCGCAGACCGGTCGCAGCCGCAGCGAGACGGACCGGACCGGACCAGACCGGAAAGCAGATA